CGTGCGTGCGTGCGTGCGTGCGTGCGTGCGTGCGTGCGTGCGTGCGTGCGTGCGTGCGTGTGAGGCATCAGCCTTGCTGGAGTTGTGGGCTAACTGCACTGATTGCACATGTCCTTTTCCAGGCTAAACCCCGGCCCTCGCTGAACCCTCCAGATGTTGTCGGAGTGCACAGGCTGCGCTGTATAAAAAACCCAAAATGCAGAGCCAAGGGAGTGAGAGGCTTAATGCGGTTTAGCTATGCACACAATGAACAAGGACAGTATCGGCTAAAAACAAAAATCAATTTTGAAGGTTTTCCAAGAACAAAGATTATAGTTTGTAGACGGACCAATCAGCTAGACACCAGCAAAACTTTGTTTCAGCAGCTTTTCAAGGATACTTCATAAGTTGATATGATCATGGCACTGAAAGGGTTGAGGACATTTGTCATGTCCTTTTGTCCACGGCCTGTCAGCGGGGGAGAGACACGTCTAGACTGGACTGTGAGTACAGGCGAGTGACACAAAGGGTGGGCTTGGGCTAAACATTCCTCATGTGGGTGCTACCAGCCAGTAGTGACCAGTGCGGTTGATAATGAGGAGCCCCACAGGCTCACACGGTCTCGTTGACCCCTCCATAAACAGCGGCTCAAACAAAGAATACAGTTATCAGGGGGTCAGCGACAGGACTTAAAAGGCCATGCTGGCTATTTGGCAAATAATCACTTTGATTAGCTTTGTTATGTGAAGAGTAAATTTCACAGAGGTCTCAGCAGTTTCACCCTCGGGTGTTTCGTTAGATTCCAAGAGGATGTGGATGGTTTACTATTAAAATTATAAGGTTCATCATCAAGTATTTCTAACACCACCAAGAAGATGTTTTCACTTTTGGATTGCACAAATTAATTGAAAGGATTTCTACTAAATTTGATGGCGGGACGGAACATGGGCTGAGAACCAACTCATGACATTTTGGGGCAGATTCCTGACAGGGGGGCGGACACAGGAATTTCTTTTATCACTTTCTTCAGGGTGTTTTTTGACATTTTCAACATTTCCCAGGGAATTCATGGATTACTGTGAAAAAAATCAGGCGTGTTTAGGGGACTGGTGTCAATGAGTGAGTGAAATGTGGGGCAGCCCAACTGAATCTAAGGATTCACTGCACTGAGCATCATTCTAGTTATATGCCGTACTCGTGACTTATCTCTGCAATATTGAACATCTAAATCTTGGTAATGAACGAGAGCACACTAAGAAATTATGTTTGTCATCACATTGCAGTGTCTCATGCATCACCCGGGGTCACTCCACGCCTGCTGCACCCATGTCTGTGCGACTGTGTGTGCAAACAGACGTCCGCTGCACATTTCTGTCCGCAGGGCTCACACATCGGATGTTTGTTAGCTCCGCGGCCTGGCTGCTGATGTGGTGTTTCAGAAATAGAGGTGGCAGAGTGATTCACTGGAGCCACGGGAGCAGATGCCAGCATTGCTAATTAATCACTCGCACTCCCAACACAACGCCACAACACATGAGGATGATGGGGGCACTGACAGTCTCCCAGACCCACACCCACCTCCTCTGTGTGTGTGTGTGTGTGTGTGTGTGTGTGTGTGTGTGTTTCAGACACATCTTCCAATACAGTCTATGGTTTTTTTCAAATTAAAATAAAACAAATGTATACCTGGCGTCCAAGTACCTCATACATAACAGGACTCAGACAGATATTTGTGTTTGCTCACACAGGATCTTGAGTTCACTCCGTGATAAGATGATATGATCAAGATGGAAGCTAGAATGGCAATTAGTAGAGCCAATACCACCCCAAGGCTTAACAGTCTCCTCAAATTCAATCAAACTGCACCTAATTGTACACAGTCATAGATATCAGTTATCTCAATGTGCCTAATTTGTACGATCTATAATCACTTTTGTTTATTGGCACCACTGTCCTCACCCAGTGGTGTACGGTATGTTGATTCCTCCCAGATTGATGCTCTCGCAGCCCACTATGAAGAGCGTGGAAAAGCAGAGCAGGGACACCCCGCTGCAGATCATGGCCAGCTTGGCCGACTCTCTGGCTCCGAGCTTCAGCTTCTTGATGATGTAGCCCCCCAGCACGATGCCCACGCCGGCGCTGGGTACAATGATCACACCTGTGACATAGATCAGAGAGAATACGAGGGGGTGAGATGGAGGAAACACTTCAGACGTGTTGGAAACAGCACGGAAATAGAACAGATTTGTTAACACTGCATTAATGTACAACTCTAACGCATGACTGAAGAGCAGAATAGAATAGAATGTGATCTATTCTATTTTAATTGGTGTAGTGACATGAATAGTGTTGTGTAAATGCTTGTCTTGTAGAACAAGGATGCATGAAAAAGACACATCAATCTCAATGTGAATTCCCCCCTTAGAATAAATAAATTATAATTATGATAAAGAAAGAGACACCAGAAAATGGCTTTGCTGTAAGAGTGCGACCAGGCTATGCTGGGGGCCACCAGTGAGTCATTTCAGGCAGTTGCAGCGCAGCACATGTGCTCTCAGTCCACTCGAGCTAGTCTAATTGAAAATAAAAAGAAAGGCAAAGCTTGCTGCTGGCAAGCTGGGCTGATCGGGTGGTGGGTGTCATCGGGCAGGAGTGACAGCTCAGGGAGGCTGCACATGGCGGCTTACGAACCCAGCTACGGGCACTTACGGCTGGGAAACGAGCAAGATAAGGGTCAGTCAGCAGGGGCGGAGGGTTGTCAAAGACAGGGGATGAGCAGAGATGTGATCCAAGTATACAGAAATGTCATCTGGCTTCTCCCTCTGTGTGTGTGTGTGTGTGAGAAGAACATGAAGAGAGGGCAAGGGACAGAGATAGAAAAAGTGTCTCTTTGAATACGCCCAGTGAGAGCAGAGCATCAGACAGCTGTAGCATATTATCCTGTAATGCATGTTTCTCTACTAAAACCTTGTGCTTTCTGAAGGATTAAACATATACATGGCCAAACCAGATATCATATGACAGTGAGATAAGGTGCACACACACACACACACACACACGCACGCAGTTGTGTCGTGTAAAATGCCACATGAGTGATTTACACATTTTATCTGGATTAATAGCTATGTTGTCATTATGCAATGATTTATCTGCTAAGTGTGTGCATGACAGAGATCCTCTCGCAAACGACTCCCAGGACAAACTTCAGTGTGGCTCATGATCATCGACCGCGGCTTTTGGACAGAAGAGACAGAACAAAACATCAAAGACATAAGAAAAGATAACTCCTGACTTGGTCAGTCCATCTGGACGCTCTGTGCTCTCATCAGCAGGAGGAAACTCTCCCCTTTCTCTCCCAGCAGCTTGGCATCATTTGGGTAACCATAGCAACCACGCCACCCGTTTGCCCTTACCCTTGTATCCTGGCAACAGGCAGATGAGATGAGGCAATGACATTGTGTATGTGGGGGTGTTTTTACATACGTGTGTGTGAAGAAACCACCATGTTAACCAGCACACACACACACACACACACACACTTTAAAACTTTCAAAGCCATAATTGAGTTTTCAATCAATCCTCTCTGTCATAATCCTGACACCAGATTAGTTGTGTATTAGCACCACTGGCTCAGACAAGACTCCAGGATTAAGATGGTTTCTTTGTACACCCTACATGTGTGCTGCACACATTACAGGCAGAGTGACGCGTGTGTGCGTGTTCACATGACCGCATCATGATGAATGCGTCTCCTGCAGTCAGTGGATGTAAAGGAAGCTTATCAGTGAATCAAAAGTCTGTGAGACTCCATGACTCATAGCGCTGCCCTCCAACCGTGAATCAATGAGTGCACATGGAAAGGTGAGAATAAATGTGATCTTAAATAGATACGGACTAATGGTGTGTACAGCTCATGCTGATGTATCATTTAGAACCCAGTCAAAGATCAGGTCACATTAAATGAACATTAAAAAAAGCAATATATCCATTAAAATGATATTTTTCAACAACTAATATACACATGTCAATACTTTACATCCAGGCTTTGACTTGATTCTCACAATAATGATGATATATTCACTGTATCTAATAGAAGAAAAATCTGTAAGCCAGGGGAACACATTTTAATTTACATTTTCAGCAGTTTTGCCTGATTGATTTGACATTTCACACATTTTCAGGGACAATTCAATTAACCCATGAGAAGGCAACTAAAAACACCTCCTTCCTAAAATAGGTTTGATCTTTTTAATTGTTAACCTAAAGAGGTAGATGATCTAATTTTCTCCATCCAAAACTAAACTGCTTTTCAACAATGCCTTTATTGATTAGTCAGTTACTACTAGTTCCTGCTTTTGAAATGGGAGCATTGGCTACTTTTACACATTTTATATAATTGTAAATTGAATATTATTGTGTTTCTGAAGCCATCATCACAAGCCATGGATTATGTCTTCTATGGGAAAGTGTAATATAACACTTATGCATACGTAGTTGATTTGTTTTCCGTCTAACATGCAGCTTCATGTTATCATCGCATCCCACTTTATTGTTTTCAACCAACACTTTATTGCTCATTGCACGTGTTAAAGAATCTCTTATCGTTGGTTCCCACACATCCTTGGTGGCAGCCCACAGGGGACAGAGACGCCACTGACTCACAAGACAATTAAAATACATCCGTGAAGAATTTTAATAACACACACAGCTGTGGAGGCGTGAAGCATTTCACACCTGACTCTTTACAGTCATGATGACAGCACCAGTAACAACGAGAGACTCACCGGTGTAGATGCTGGCATTGGAGGCGGGGATGCCAAACTGAGACTCAATAAATTTTGGGATGAAGGTGATGAAGGCGGTGACGATGGCACACTCTGCCGTGTAGGACAGGCTGACGAACAGGAAGGTCATGTTGCTGAGGATCCTCAGTGCTGCCTTGGGGAGTTCTGTGGGAGGGGTACAAGACAGAGCGCCTCGTTACGATGGTGGTGTAATTAACACACAGTCAGTCTCTACATTTGTCACTCACTTCCACACAAACTGAACTTGATGGAATCATCTTACCGGAAAAATGTAATTAACCTGTAACCCAAATAAAACTTGTGTAGTAATTACCTGGGGTAAAAAATAGACCATCTTTAAACGCCACTGAAACACACGCTCACATTCAAACATGCACTCAGCCTTGTCTCATTACATCTGGATAAATATCCTTGTTTCACACATGAATGCAGACGCAACCAACAAGACACAAACATGCAGCTGCTCTTCTCTGCAAAACACTTTCAGATTATTTATGAACACAATCTAAACATTGACAGTGCCTTTTAATTACTCATCTGTGCTTGTTGTGGCCTAAATCCCGTCAAGCCTTTTGCTCCATAGCTGCACGATGCAAGTACATATGTAGATCATGTGGTTTTATGCTGCAGGCGCAAAACAAACCAAGCTCTGCAAATCTAGCCTGAATGCCATCGCCCTTGTTTCATCACAACAAGGACAAACATGCCCTTTACATGTACTTGAGGACGGTGTCCATACGAGTAGGTCGCCATGATGCAGAATGCCCTCTCCTCCTGTCACTCAAAAGTTACGCTGTCAAACTTCGAGGACGTTACTGTTACCGGGCAGATTTAAACTACTTCATCTCGGCAGAGGCTGGAGGAGCAATTGATCGCAGAGATACCGCTCAGATGTCACTTCCTCTTCATCCGAGGAAAAGCAGTGCAGAATTATTTTCCTTAACAGGAGCTAATGGGGATCAGCATCTCACTCACAGGCACATCAGCCAAGCAGGTGCTTGCTGTCATAGCAACATAGCTGTCATCCCAGTCCAACTGCTATCTCCTGAATAATGTCAACCTTGATCCATAAACTCTGTAACGTGTTGAAAAACAGGATATGGCCATTTTTATTCCGAAATAAGCAAAATAAATAAAAATGATGCTTAAAGTGGCGTACATTTTTAAATTCGAGAGTTGTGGTAGAAATCTGCAGCATATCAATAAGGTTTAAACAGCAAGCTGCACCCGCCTCCCATTTGCCATAGCTTATAACATACAGATATCTGTAACGTCATTTCGCCAGGTCATTTCGGCAGATCAAATTAAAGCTATCTCAATTTATCTTTAATTTAAATTAATTTCAAGTTATCAATAACTGGACAATAGATATGTACAATTAAATTATGACAATTCCAGTTTGAGGTAAATATATTCAAGATATCTTTGTCATTGTCTATAACTTAATTTAAGATATCTAAAAAGGACAATGTACATGTCTTTAAAGAATTAAAGATATCTTGAATTTAAATGAAAAATTATGCTTTAAAATAATCTAATGAAAAATACCTTCTGCAATCTGACCTTGTGTCCATGGCTGAACCCGAGGACTCGTATGCAGTCAAAGTGATACGACAAACATGTAAAAAGTGCATGTCTACGTGTTTTATATCAGAATGCCAAACATCTATCGTCACCTGTCCTTTCTGTAAACCATCATCTCATGGGGCTCTGAGGCATGTGCACCAGACTGTTGAAGAATTGTTTTACTGTATTTTGTGCCTTGCATCAGAAAAGTTCTCCCTCTAACGTCCTTGCCAGAGGTACAAGGTTGCAGAAGACACTGTTCTCTGGTCACTGGTGCATAAAATCTCCTGCATCTCAACAAGGCTGAGGTATAAGATTTCAGGAACAGTGTGACAGAATGGGGATCTCTGCAATCCACAGGGACCTCGGATTCAAGCTGCTGCTTTACATGAGGAGGAGGGAGCTCATGTAGGCAGGGCTGATTACTGTGGGATGTCCTGAGGAAAATCCAGGACATGCTGCAGGGACGTCATGTTCAAACTGGCCCTGAGCTGGAGGAAGCTGCAGGTGTAGTAGATGTTTGGTTTGTTCTGTTGCCCTGTTTACATCCATGAGCACAACACTGATGCCAGAAAAGGTATCGGACTGAAAAATCAAATGATTCATATAATATCAACAAAGACCACGGCCTAAGTGATTCATATTTTCAGATGAAAGAAAGATTTTAAAAACCCAGAAGCCAGGACAGCTCCCTTTTTTGAAAAATAATTATTATAATTATTACTTAAAGAAGCAAGGTCACTTGTGTACCCGCGCAGATGCTTTATTCAAATGAATCTGCTCTATGGCGTCAGAAACACTTTGTGTCGACTTCCCTTGACCTAGACTGTCTGTTGGATGAAAGATGGAGGATGGCAACCAAAAGAAGCGTTTTACAGTTTTTATAAGGAAAATATTAGTCAGGTTTTATATTTTATCATGAAAGTCTCACTCTTTTGTTCCTTATCTGCAGCCCTTTCTTTCTCACTGTTAATCTGTGTGGTCTTTCATAGGCTCCACACACACAAAAACATTCAACAGCACAAAGTTTGTACCTCTCAAAAACTGTCCATTTGTCATGTGTGTGTGAGTGAGTGTGAGGGCAGATATTAAACCGTCATAAGGGCGTCATGGGCGCTTTGTTTGGCACAAAGCAGAGAAAGAACAAAAGAAAAGGAGGAAGTGGTTGAGTGGATGATTGCCGCCTTTTATTTGGGAGGTTATTACAAAGCTGGCTGGTCTAACTGACTGGCAGGCTGCCTTGATTTGGGGATAGCCGTCTCAGCGCTAATTCAGTTAATCTTGTTGTAGGTGGGGAAATGTTAGCATCTGTCAGTGTTATCCCAGATCAAAAGGTAGGGACAGAATAGCGATGCTAATTATTTCATTCCTGGGGACTTGGGCTGTAATCTTGTCTGGAGGGGGGACAGATGGCGAGGTCCTGTTGACGTCGACAGCAGCTGCTCTCTATCAGACGGACCACTGGCTCGCAGTAGTTGTCACACTTGCCATTTTATTAGAGAGAATTTATTTTATGACTGGGTTGAATTGTTTCAACCATCTGCTCTCTTTTAGAGGAGACAGGTCATAACATACATCATAGTGCTGTTTCGACCCACGATGTTAGAACAGTGTACACTGGGTTTTTATGAATCTGTGATTAGAATAAATAAACGTAAAAGGAAACCACTTCAAACAAATTAACTGTATATTTACCTGCTTCTTGATGATTATATACCGTAGCTAGACTTAACTCTCACTCGTGCTAAATCTTTAATTAAATTGATCAGTTAATTCTGTGTGTGTCACTGCAGGGAACAAACTGGAATCATTTTTATGGATCGTAACTTATTGATTGGTATGATAGATGACCGATTTCTGACAATGACTGAGACTGATCGGTAAACTTTATTAAATGGATCGGTCACACCACGACTGATAGTCAATCTGCTTTGATTGGTATCAGCACTGATCCTGATCTAGCGCATCAGATCAGTGCATCCTCAATCCCACAGCCCATCAGCTATCGTCTGGTTACGAATTAGCCTCTGGAGGCAACAACCAATAATTGGGGACTCCCATCTTCCATTTGTTTACAGTCAGACTAACAACGTGAAACAGGAGACTCAACAATCACTCATATAAAAACTGGACATTAAACTACTCAGTCTTAAATCAAGTAATTTGTCATTTGTACTCATTAAAAGTAAAACTTTTGTCTTACTCCATCTGTGTTTTAAACTCAGCACAGCAATTAATTATAAATAAATATGATTGTGGTAAACGGTATGTGGCTGCAGTTATTAATCTATACCAGCTTAAATTGAATGAAATACAAAATTTGAGAAACACTAATCTTTGCTTTCACGCAGCAGTTGACCAAGGTCTGGAACATTCCATAACCAGAAGTGTGTCCCTCTGATGTGTTGGCAAATTTTCAGTGTTTGCTTGCATTCTGAAGGGCAAAAAAAAAAAAAATGCTTGCTGAAAACAGCCACTTTCAGTGCAGCGAATCTTTCACAAAAAGTGCTGAATTAGTGCTGTGAACACACAGACCTCGATAGAAGGACATGCACAGCACTAAAACACATTACAGATCCAAACACTGAAGTGCCTGCGATGCAAAATTGGCCGTAGTTCGCACAATGGCCTAAAACATCCTGCTGGGACGAGTCAAACAGCAGGAGAGATAGCAGAGACTGAAGAGGCTATAATGCATTCATAGTTTATCTGTTATCCTCTCCATGAGATTAAATCCTGTCTGCATTGCTGTGGGACACATACACAAGCATACATTTATGATTATGCACTCATTTAAATAAATGTTGAAATTCATGATAGTTATTTTTTTCCTGTGAGAGTGTGAGTGCAGACATGCATGCCACTGTTTTTGCTCTGGTGCTCAGTCTGTTTGCTCCTGTGCATTGAAACATGACCGAACTCCCCCGAGAGCTCATTTAAGAGAGCGAGAGAGATAGCTGTCTGCCAGAGAGAGAGAAGAAATGAGACGAGAGATAACTGGGAAACACTGGAGCAGGCTCATCGGCTCATCCAGGGGACTCTCCCACAGAAAACTATGAGATTCCTGGTGTATCTGGCTCAGAGATGACATGTATCAGAGGAGTATAAGTACAAGTAGTTACTTCATGAAACACCATCTCCAATTTCATTATTTTCTGTATTTTTTCTAGCTGAATGAGGCAAAGTGTAATTTATATCCATATCTATGGATGACACTTCTCCACTTCCAACAAATATGAAGCTATAATATTGCATGTAATGTTGCCACAATCTTGTGCTGATTATGTTATTTGGAACCAGAGTGTGCACAGAAGTGATTTCAAGGTCCCAAAGAAAACAATCACCAGTCAAATTTCAACTTTCAACTGAAGTTTAAATTTGATTTTAAAGCATCAAATAACTAATTTAAACTAAACTTATTAGAAACATTAGCACTTGAACATACATCAGTTCAGTGTGATGAGAACTACCTAAAATGATGGAAGCCATCTCTGAGAAAATATATTTCACATTCTTTGACTATTTACTTTGGTCCATGTCCACTTATATGGAAGAGCTTGGGTTTGTGACCTATACTGCATCCAGCCACCAGGATGAAATGTATGATTTGGCCTTACATTTGGGAGCTGTCATGTCATCCATCTTTAAATACACGCTATTGTCTTGACTCATATGACATTCATAGTGCAAATAAAAGGTGATACTGTAATTTAATGACTTTTAATATATGAGATCTTGAGTTATGGCCAACAACATGTGAGGTTACAGTAATCTTGACTTTTGACTACCAGATGTCCAAGTGGACAATAGTGCCAGAAGCAGTGAAATACCTTCCAGGGATTCCTGATATATTTCATTCACAATAATTGGGATGAAGCAGAGGTCACAGTGACCTTGACCATTGATATATAACCACTTAAATCGAATCACTTCAACTTCCCTCCTGCATTCTGTAGATAATGTCTTCACAGGAATGAGACAGATGGACAACAGAAAAACATAATTCCTCTGGGCATGGCTGTCAAAGTGTGGAGGCATGAAAACATTCCGTCCTTTACTTAAAATCAAGGTTGCAAAGCTAAAAACCAAGTCTTGAGCTGACAGCAATAATGAGTGACCTCTGGCTTTGTTAACTTTTCATTCAGTCAGGTAAATAGAAGCCACTGTGCAGTAAACCTGCCCATGTTCACAGTGAATTACTTGCTTCATTAGGCAACTGTGTGGACAACCACTTTCATCATCAATCAATAAGACCCTTTACAGCAGATCTCAATGGAGCTTCCACTTTTAGATAAGATGACCAATCCCAGCCATTGATTGGCTTATGGGCCAATTATACATCAATAGTTCTCAGTTCCTTTATGTAAGGAACTTGTGACACCCAGGAGACCACATGTGGAGGAGACAGGCTGATTTAATCTCTTCCTCACCTTTGATGTCCTTCCCAAAGCCCATGGAGGAGGAGACGTTCTGGCCTTTGCTGCTGGACTTCTCCTTCATCACGTCATCATCGCTGGATACGTCACCGGGCGAGCCAATCTTTTTCTTCTTCCTCTTTTTGTGGCGAGGAGGCAGCTTTTTGGGGAAGGCAAACATGGGGAAGATGACCAGCAGCATGGCTATGGAACACAGGAGAAAGCCACTCCACCTGAAAGGAAGTAGCAGTAAATAGGTTGTGAAGCAAATAGAGACATGAGTAAATACGCGGTGAGGCGGATGCATGTGAATAGTTACCAGTTGCCAACAAAGCGAGGGTCACTCTGGTCGATGTTCACTACAGTTTTGGGGTCGACGTAGAAGCCGATGAGGACGCCACCCAGCAGGTAGCCAGCTGCAGGTCCCAGGGCGCCCATCACATACATAATGGCTAAAAAAAAAAAAAAAGAACAAAACACAATCAGGAACTTCAATCAATAACCTGCAAGTTTTTCCACCTTCCTAATTAATGCTTTTAAAGACCCACGGTTGAAATCAAACCTGCAGGAACTATTGTCTACCACATTCAGAACACCTGCTCTGAGGTTGGTGATCTCACCACCAGCCCTGAGGTCATTACCCAAAGCTTTTGAAGAATCTCTAACAACCGACCTGAAAGCTCAAGAGGTCTCACGTTGACCTGAGAGCACACCTGCAGCTTACCCGCACCAGCCAACCACAGTGCGAGTGGGAGGCGAAACATTAACTCACAGGGTCTCTAAGATTAAGCCACTGGGGAGAGTCAATCACACTCCGTCACTTTGCCACAGGAAGGGAAAAACTCATTAAAGTTAGATAACCTCAGTTGGACGAGTGGAAAAACCTCCTGCGGACATCCAGCGGAGACGTGAGTCAAAGCCATTTACTGGTTGTAATCAGGGGGCAAACTTTCTATAATTACACCTGGAACATTGCTGCGAGCCGTGAAGGGTGCATGTGCATGCATGACCGTGTAGAGGGATTGGCTTTCTATGTTGTGTGTGTGTGTGTGTGTGTGTGTTTCAAGAGGTTTCTAAAAAATGACAAAATTCTCAAGTAGAGTTTGCAGTTCTTCTAATTTTTATTGGCAAACAAAGCTATGAACCCCATGCTGTGTCTCTCTCTCTCTCTCTCTCACAACCCCCCCCACATACACACACACACACACACATAGACAGACAGACACACACACACACACCAAACTTGATCTTCTACATGTCCATCTTAAATGCCACATTCTAGGATGCCAGCAGCAGCATGTGCACACGTGTTTGTGCTGCTGTTTGTACCAGACTGAGTCTGTTAGCAAAGACCTCAGGTGTGTCAACACTCAAAATGTCTAATCTCTCTTAAATCCACAGAAACTTTCTCTGCCAGATTACATAACTGATGCACTAGCACACACAGACACGCACAATTCTCCGAAGCTAGCTGTTTCCCAGAATGGAAGCTCCACAGCCGTTCCCTCTCAGTCTGTTTAATCAAATGTTTCAGCTGCCATGCCAACATTTGCATTCTACACTGTTACATCCCAAGTGGCTCGTGTTTTTTGCTCCACTCGTATTTTCATCCCAACACGGAGCACAAATACGCACTTTCACTTCTATAGCTAGATTCCAACAATATCAGAGTCCAAGTCCTTTTCTAGATGTAATTAAATCACAGCCTTTTTAAACAAAGCTATTGGGGGAAAAAGAATAAAAGCTAATCCTTTTATCAGCCTAATGCATAAACGCAATCACACATGAAGGCAAAATGCAACGGACAAGGCTTCAAACTGTGTGCCTGTGCTTTAGGAGAAACGGTAGGAGTATATGTACAATGTAGATATTTGAAAACAGTATAAGAATGTATATAATATGTGTTTGTTAAGCCTGAGGGTCTTTAGCAGTTTCATTCCCACAGATAAACATGACTCTCTTCTCCAAGCACCTGAGGCAGGTTTCTTCTCCCTCTTTCACTTCTTCTTCGTCTCTTTGTCCCGCATATCATATTTCATCTTTTTAACTCCTTTCATTTGACTCATTTCTCATATCCTGCTGGTTGGAGGGTCAATTCACTGCAGCAGCCAAACCGTTACACAATGTAACAGGATATTACCACCCGGAGACAATAAACAATTAATTCTAGTTGGCAGGGATTGAAAGAGGTCCTATCGTATTATCTCCCTCTTTAAATTAAAAACATCTTTAAAACCTAATCTAGTGAATAATACTTTTGTGGTACAATTTTCCCTCTTCTATAGAGCACAGAACATATTCTGCAATATAATGATGCCAACAGAGATTAAATATGAGTTTCAACATTTGCTATAAATTGCTTTAGATGGATTTCAGTTATCTCCTGCCTCCTGATGGAGCCTCATACCAGGTTGACTCTTCAAAATCCAGTTGCCAATGTAAATATGGACAAATGTAAAGATGATCCTGTAGTTTTCAGCCGGCTGATAAAGAAAACGTCAATGGACTTGAGCAAAGTGAGTAAAATAAATTGTGCAAGTCAGCAGGATTTCATGCCTGAATTTATTCTTGCATCCATCTGTGAAGGAATCATTCTCATGATCTCACCCTGCTGACACTTCCTGTGCCCGAAATCTAACAGCCTATCATTTAAACACTCTCTGGCTTGAGCCAGATCGATGCACCCAGCCGTTCAGTCATCGTGCGAAAGGTTGATCACGGCAGGTATGGTCATTTTTTTGCCCTCCAATCTCCATCCTCACCCCTCTCGGGCACCCAGGGAGGGACAACAATGTTTTATCCCTCTCAGGTGATTAGGTCAGCATCTCTCTTGCCCCTCCATCCATCACGTTAACAGCCTTCAGTCCGACTGGAGGACAATGAGGTCATAAACCGAGCCTGACTTGTTGCCCTTACCCTGCCTGCTTGGCACCAAGCCGAGATGGTTTAGGATGGGACGGGATGAAGGGGATTGGTGAGATGCAGCTGGCCTGAAGGGCAGCCATGGCAGAGCTATGGGATTGAGGAACATGCTGGCACAGCAGTAGTGCTCCGTCACAAAAACACATGCTGCGGTGGCAGACGTCAGTGAATGCCAATGAAGAACGCATGGAGAGCCACCAGCTCACTTTACTCAATTACGCAATAGACCTTCACCAGCAGCACGTGAAGGACGAAATGTTACAGGCTTCATATAATTATCTACACGTGCAGAGGTAATGGATGAGGAGCTCTCCATAGCAGTTATCGGATTTCCATGCTTATGTTATATGGAGTCAGCATTTAAACATTCAGTGTGGTCCTTCATGTTCAATATGTTGTGATCATTTTGTGCTGACTTTGCTCAACACATTAGTACGCATGAAAAGACACGAACTGGGGGACGAAGTCACCAAGCGTGTGATTTTACATGTTACAAGCAGGATCCAATATCAGCAACGTGATATTAATGATGCCTGAGAAAATGTTTATAGTGCAAAAAAACAATTACAAGAACTGAAAACTCATCAAAAGGCAACAATGCATCAATTACAACTCATTGACTTTTGCATTAACAAAGATCAGCGGTTCTCAGCATCACAAATACACACGTGAGCTTTTACATGAATGCATGTGGAAACGTGACAGAGGTGATGCAAGGGCATCAAGACAATGAGTGAAGGAGGGATAAGGTTAGACATTTTATCGCGCGTCATTGACCCCAATCTAATGTTTCAGCTGCAGCGTTTGTGATGGATGGACGCAGCCATGTCAGGCAGCAGGAGGAGAGATTTACTGTACAATAATCTGGAAAGAGAAAGGCAATAAAAGGGGGACACTGAAAGAAATAAAAACTGATAAAGTGAGATGAAAGTGGCCGGGAGAGAAAGTGGAGACAGATGACGTAGGAAGAAACAATAACATCTATAAGAGGGGGAGTCGGAGCAAGGAGGAGTGATGGAGGATAAAGAAACAGAGGGTAGGAAGGGGAGAGGGGTTTGGGCCGAGGTCTGTGGTGACTGATCCTGCTGTGAGTGATAAAGCTTGCTCAGCAACATCCCTCTCATATCTAACCTTCAGGGACCAGTGCTGCTCTGTTGTCTCCACTCTGCCTCCTCCACACTCTCGCCAAGAGCTCTGCTCCTCCTGACTCTGTATTCATGAGCTGCACTGACTCATTCACAGCTGGTAGGAATGAATGAAGCAGAGAGAGGAGTTGGCAGTAAAGAGCATGAGGCATGAATCAGAAGCGTGGTTACAAGGTGGTAAATGCTGCTAAAAAGTGGCTGCTGATGCTTTTGAATGGAGTTCACGTGAGTGCAGAGGCAATTTCAGAGCCCATCAGCTACTGTTTGATGACAAATTAACCTCTGCAGGCAACGCCAAGGATTCAAAATCGACACAACAACAAAACACGACTAGCAACACTTTTTGTAGGTGTTTTTAGTCCAGGCGACATTTTGGCTGGTCTCTATTAAAGCTGTATTAGTTATCTGCATATGAATATGGTCTCCAAACAGACTGTTTATCTGAAGGCAACCACAACCTTCTCAAATAGATTAGAGGTTAGAAAGAGAAACAAGAAGGCCCAGAAGTCTTATCTCTCACCTTCATATTGACACGCAGAGTCTGTTTATAGAGAATAATACAGAGATATTGTATCTTAAGACATTCCTATACTATTTCCATATTTTGTAGGATTGCAACAAATGTTTTTTTCATTTCAAATTAATTTGCTGTTCACAATTTTACTCAGTCAAATAACCTAAACGATTGACAAATAAATCTCACGTTTTGATACATTTCATCACTTCTGCTTTATAGCTGGTAATATCCTTACAGATATTTTCTAATCCTACAAATTACTGTATTTATTTCGATGGAGTTATTGGAATATACAGCACCTAGATGTATCCACATCTGCCTTGACTGTGAACGGAATTCCAGGCATGACAATAAAATGGCCACCCCCCCTTCCCATCCCCCAACCTCTTCTGACCTTGTGTTCTCCTCACCCCTGAGAGCAGGAGCAGCAGAGGATGAAGGAGGAAGGCGGAACTGGACCTGATGAGAACGCACATTGCACCTAATGAAGCGGCTCCCCGGTGGTCAAGCTAATTACCACAGATTAGTGATTTGATGTTTAATTGCTTAAACAAAATAACTGGAATTTCGCTGCCTTGTCAAGACACTGCAGGGTTAAAGAGTTGAGATTTACAATTCACACAGGAGAATAGAATGGAATAAAAACTGTGTGAAAACCTGGTTGAAGAACAGTAAACAGCAGCACAGTGGAAGACAAATACATCATTGGGCTGTTACTTCACACAGCAACAGCCCAATGATCAGTCGCTGCTCGGATGGAGAAGTTATGAACAAAGTCATCGAGCCTTCGTTGCCTCCATGATACGCCTCATAGCATCTCACCAGGAAATATGTGTTTCCACCCTGGTGTCAGGCTGTGGATCTCAGC